CCCGCCAATGTCGCACCCACAAAGCCGCCTGCCAGCGAACAGCGCTGCGACCTCTTGAAACTCAAGCGATCGCCATCAAGATCGCCCCGGGCCTTCTTCGGGGCGCTGTGGGGCCCAATTCCGCGCGGGAACTGCGCGGCGAAGGAAGAAGTAAGAAGAAGACGAAGAAAGAGAACCAGAAGAAGAAGAAACATAATAAAAAGAAGCACACGAAGAAGAAACAGAGGAAAAAAAAAGAATTATATTAATAGGAAGAAGAAGACAAACAAAGAAAAGGAAACAATGGGGAGGGCTAGGCGCCTGGGCCACACTGGCCAACCCTCCATCAAGGGGCGGCCCTTCCAGCTCGCCACGCCCGTCAGACTGGCCCGACAAAGCAGCCAGCAGAAATGGCGATTGATCTTGCCATCCAGCGCAACCCTGCGGACGCACTCGGAAAAACGTCGCGGTTCCCATCGGCCACGCGGAACTCCTGCAGGTCGTCCTCGCCCAAGTCCGGCACCGCGCTGCGGCCCGTGCCCTCACCCAAGACGCGATCTACCCCAGAAAAGGATCTGAGCAAGGCTTCGCCTGCTTTGTCGACACATGGCCCTGAAGTGCCCGGCCCACGGACTCCGCGCAGCCCCGGAGACGCCTACGCAACAGAAGGCCAGCAGGGCACCCTGGAACTCAGCGGAGCTCTCGTCGCAGCGCTGCCTTCCGAGATGGCAGCAGCATCCAGATGGGAAGCGACTCCAGGCACCCCCTCACCTCCGCGGGCCGCCTCCGGGCCAGCCCTGGAGCATACTCGACCTGGCAAGCTCGCCCGCGAGCGCTCGCAAGAGTCCTCGCTGGCCAAGACAAGCGGGGCGCACCGCGCCGCACCTTGCCCCTCAGACGCCTCGCCGGCGCCCTGCGATAGGCGGCGGCAACGTCGACGTCGACGGAGGGGCGAGCCGCCAAGAAGACGAGCTGCTGCACACCTGCCTAGGTGGTGATTATCACCATATAACCGCCGCTCCCTTGCAGCCAATATCTGTCAGTCTCTGGCCAGCGCGTTGCCCGCCGCCGTGCACTCTACACGGGCTGTCGCAAGCCGCATTGCCATCGCTGAACCACCTTCGCCGCCATCGCTGAACCACCTTCGCCGCGGTCCTGGCGCGAGGTTGTGGGACCAATGGTATTTATTTTCCCTCGGCAGCGGCGCGAGGTCCGGCAGCGCTGCTATGAAAGCACTGGGCGAGAAAGACGACGCGCGCAACCCCCGGTTGCCCTGGCGTCTACGGGGGCGATCCTGCGGGACGGGAAAATTGCCACAGCCACGACTTCTTGTTTGCGCCGCCCTTCAGCCGGCCGAACAAGAAGCAGCGGTCGCGGTCATTTCCCCGGTGCCACGCTCAACGAAAATGACCACAACCACTGCTTTGTTTCTGCGGGCTGGAAGGCGGCAACAAAAGAAAAGCAGTGGCTGCGGTCGTTTTCACGCCCCGTAGACCCGGTTTTTGCCCCTCTCCACCGAGGCCGCCCTGCGGCTAGCAGCCGGCGCCCGTGGCCGCGCCCATCTCGGCCCTCGACCTCGCTCATCGCCTGCTCCACAGCAGGCGCCACTACTGCCAGCGCCTCCCACAGGCCCCCTCGCGCTCACCCCGGCGGCGGCCGCCCGCGCAACATCCTCGGGCCCGGGGCCCAGCAGCTGCGCCCACGACCGCAGAGCCTCGAACTCATGCGCCCCCTTGGACGCGGCGGCCCGCGTAGCACCGCAGCGCCTACGGCGCCAGGTCGAACGGGCCACTGGCCCCCCAGGGCAGGCCTGGTCGGCGCCGCGGGCGCGGGCCTCCGCGCACGGCAGAAGCCGACGAGACCTGTTGCGACGCGAGGGCCCCCATGTACACCAGGCCGCCCGCCCCCGCAAGAGGTCTGCACCTGGTGGCACGGCCCACTTTGGCCAGTGGCCCCTGGCCGCGTATTTGACGCGCCACCATGGAAAGACATCCCCCTACACGCCTCTAGACAGAAGGGCGGGGCACGCATGGCCGAGTTAGCAAAGACCTCCAGCGTGCTCTCCTTCACAACCTGGCGCCGCTCCTTGAACCTGGCCCCCGTCTTGTCGTCGCAGAGCCAGCAGGTCTGGAGGGCGTCGCCTGCGCTTTTACCGAGATGGCCCTGCGCTGACACGTCGCCACCATCACAAGAGGGGGGCGCGCGCCGCGCGCCAAGCCCAGGCGACCGCTCAAAAGGTGGACGAAACATATCAGCCCAGCTGCCGCCCGAGTTCGTGTCCAAGTTGGAGCCCCCCCGCAGCGCCGCGGTCCAGGACAGCACGACCTCCAGACCAAACTCGAGCCATTTGTCGAGCGATGTCAGCACCCAAGCATCTGGTGGCCTCTCCTCTGACACAGAACTGTTGCTGCCTACGCGGTTCACCGCCTCGCCACGGGCGCGTTTAAACAGTTCCAGCATCTCCGCGAGCATGACCACGCGGGCCAAGGACTGGCTGCGCCACTGGCATGGATTCTGCTCTTGCCCCGGCCCGCATCAGGACCTCGCCTGGAATCGAGTTCTTCCAAGGGCAGGGACGCCATCGAGCCTCGCTAGCCCGCGAAACGCGAGCCCGCGAAACGCACGCCCTCAAGACAGCGACACGATGCCAGCACACCAGAAGCGAGCACGGGCGGCACCTCAAATGTAGTCGCCACGCCCTCGCCGCGGACGTGGAGAAGCTCCGGCTTGGGGGCCTGACACGAGGGAGTCTCGACCACGCTAGGGGGGCACTTCACGGCCAACGGCGCCGCAGTCGCCCAGGTGATAGCGGTACTGGTCGCAGTGGTCGTGCCCCAGTACGCACCCGCAGCCGCCCAGCCACCAAAGCAATCGCGGCCGTCCATCCACGTGGAGGGGCGGAATGGAAGACCACCCCGACCAGCACAGATGCGGCAATCGCGAGGCTGGAAGCGGGCCCAGCAACCATGGAAGCCTTTCAAACTTGAGACGAAACAGCCGTGGATTAGACGGCGCAGCTGCGAGGGCAGAGACCTGCAACATTTTAAAACATCACACTCTCACCATCACCATGAGCACCACCACCACCACCTCCACCACCACCACCACCATCAGAATTCTCATGCTTAGCAGTAGCAGAAAATGTTTTCTTTTCTCCCCCGAGGACGACGCCCCTCCTCCCTCGGGCCTGCTAGCGGCGGGCGCTGGCCATCTCAAGCCTCGGCGTCGCCCTCCAGTGAGGTCCCGACGTTTAGACTGCACGTGGCCTGAGTGACGTTGTCGGCGGGCGTGCCGTTCATCTTGTCCTTGTGCCAGGTCTAATGGAGTACCAGTCGGGGAGCCACGCCACTAGCCTGGCTGTTGGACGATCGCCACGCAAGCTGCATAGGTTCGGTCGGTCTGCTGATGCTCTCAGCCGGTGTGTTTGCATTTTCTTCTGTCGGCACTGAGCTTGTCGTAGTCTGTCTCGACTAGCTTGTTCTCGCGGTTGCCATGCAGGTTGCATGGGCCCGTCGGTCGATGGTATGTCGCACCAGTCGGCCCCCATAGTCATTCGTACGGTGCGCCCTCTGTCAGCCATCAATTCTCCCGTGCGGTCGGTCTGGTGGCTAGGTCAGAGTGGCGCTGCTGGTAGTGCTGCTGGTTGGCCGACCACTGGGAAGAAATCGTCGTCACTGGCCGCGACGGGGCACATGCACCTGACGTCGACGAAGCAAGCCCTGGCACATGAGCCGGCGCTGACCCTGGCGACGACGAAGCAGACCCTGGTATAAGAGTGGGTGCCGCCCTTGCAGAACGACGAAGCAAGCCCTGGTAGACAAGTCGGTGCCGCCCCTGACGACGAGGCAAGCCCTGGCACATGAGCCGGTGCCGCCCTTGCCAACGACTAAGCAAGCCCTGGTACATGAGTCGGTGCTGCCCCTGACATCGGCGGAGCAAGCCCTGGTACATGAGTCGGTGCTGCCCCTGACGACGACGAAGCAAGCCTTGATACATGAGTGGTTGCAGAACGACGAAGCAAGCCCTGGCACATGACTCGGCGCCGCACCCGACGACGACGAAGCAAGCCCTGGTACATAAGCCAGTGCCGCCCTTGCCGTCGACGAAGCAAGCCCTGGTACATGAGTCGGTGCTGCCCCTCACGTCGACGAAGCAAGTCCTGGTACATGATTCGGTGCTGCCCCTGACGGCGACGAAGCAAGTCCGGTAACACGGAGCACCAGTGGCACCGCTTGCCGGTTGAATGTTTGGAGGAAGGCCCGCAGCCAGAAGCCAGCGCCCGCCGCGTCACGACACCCCGCTTAACAGAGCACGCGCCTTAGAATTCTCAGCGCCTCGTTGGAGCCATCGCCTTAAGAGTTTCCCAATCGAGCCTGCACTCCGCGCCCCGTGGAAGCGGACGTGGTCCGTGGTGCGGTACACCCCGGAAATTGCCAGGGCTAGTTTTGCAACGTATTCATCGGGGCACTCCTCGTCGAGAAGAAAAACGTAAGCTTTGAAGGTCGCCGATCCACTCCCAAACCAATAGGCCTGATCGCATTCAACACACTCCGAAAACACAGAGCAAACTGCTAACATAATAATATTCGACACTGTCACACCCTGCCCGGCAACCAAGCAAGCAGCTCAGTCCGCACCTTCTGCCGTAGCCGTCGCCTGTTTCATCCTACGCCTCGTCACCCACCCGTTGTAAATCGCATGTAAATATGACGCCGCAGCCCTCGACGGGCACCAAGAGTGCACGATGTGGAATGCCCGCGAGACCTGGCCTGCCAGAGCGCCGGCATGGACCCCAAAGCCCCCTCTGCCCAGCTTGTGCGGGGGCCGGTGCGCCGGCGCAGGGTAAAGCGCTTTCTTGACCAAGTCAGCGGCTATGGCCTGGAAGTGCACGCCGGCCCCCCAGGCTGTCTTGTCTGCCACTGCGCAGACTTTGCGGCGAGACGCTCCAGAGCATTCAGCGCAATGTTCAGCCCGAGCGAGGGGCGCAAAGTACGAGTTGCCATGCCACGTGCCAAACGAACCGGTGAAAAATCGGTCGTCCAATTGTTCCAGTTCTTGGCACCGTTCGCGGCAATCTGGCGCCACTTGATCGCTTCCAAGGCTGCGCAAGATATATTCGTGAACGAGTACTTCAAGCCGAACGTGTCTTTCAAGCTGGAAAGATCCTTCTTGGCAGAATC